TCTATCTATCTATCTTTCTTTATTTCTTTCTAGGTTTTTAATTTGCTTTTGCTTACTTTAGTCTATATGAGAGGTAAGATAAGGCCGGATAGTCTTCTTGACTTGGCGTATGTTAACGTGAGACTTTTTCAGGAATGAGACCCAGCTCTGATGATGTCCATCGAATGATGGACGAGAGCTCAGCCCGTTTTCACACGAAACGAGAAAAGAGGCCTCGTGGACAGCGTCAACCTGAACGTCGTATCAAACCCAAACGGCTGCAGTACAACGCGATTCATCCGTCCTCTTCTGGTGAGATCGACCTGTGAATCTCTTCTTCATGCATTTTAATACGGAATAACCTGTACCAATCAGGAAGGCTAACCGATTAACAAGTTCCTATTCCAAGTTATTAAAACTAAGATGATGTGGCTTTAGTTTTGATCGCAGTCTTTTTTAGCTGGATAGCGCCGATTTGGTTCCGGAAGCCCCACAAACGTCTTCTGAAACCGTTGAGTAAGGTTATTACGCTTCACCAAATCCACGTGAGCTTGCACGTGCTTAGCTGTATTGAAGGAAACGAAGCCACACAAAAGTGTGAGTAGGAAAATTGGTTATGAAGTAGGTTTGAGTTAGATATGAAAACCAAGATGTTGTGGTCTTTATTTTGGTCGTAGTTTCATTTTGACGTATGGAAGTGGTATGACCTAACGTTTGCATCTTGTTCGTGTTGTCAGGGCGACCTTGTTGGGAGCATCTTGTCTGAAATCCTCTGCTGTAGTAGTTATGCTAATTCACAGTGTTGTGCCGTAGACTTGGTATATTCCAGGCCATTTCATTGGCATCGTCAGTGGGAAGACAATTCTTCTGCTGATAATGGCAAAACTTAGTGAAGATGCAGGCTAAGCGCCTGAGAGGATACCAAGTTTACGCTCCAACGCTGGGAATTATCACCACTATGAAAGCATAGGACTTTGAACAAGTTGCGTCCAACTAGGTCGTTCTGACAATAGAATCAAATTACAAAAACGTGGTCAGACCACTTCTATATGAAGTAGGGCCGAGGGAAAGGGATACAGCGCTAAGAGCTAGTACAGGGATTTGAGGAAATAGACCTCAACAGCTGAACATAAAGTTGTTGAAGTGGAGACTGTCACTTCACTTGTCGCTCGGACGCATTTTAGCTGATGATGCAGGCGAAACGTTTATGCATATGTAAGTAAACGCCTCGATACTGAACATTATTATCGGTACCATGGCAGAAGTTGCAAAACTAGACATATTCCACAAAGTCAGGAGGTTGTTTGACCTTGTTTTCGCAACATGGTCATATTGGTAGGAAGACTTAGAGGAACGTACCTAGTCCGGAGTCCATTCTATGCATCATCATTTCAAGAGTAGGACCGTGGACGTGGTACATTCCCATACATTTGGAACTCCGATGAACGTGTGCCAAGCTCTCGTCTGTACCACCGTGACAGACATCATCAGGGCAAGAATACAGATTTTACGAACCTACTCGAAGGAATGAAGACCAAGATGATGTGGCCTTTTGTGTGGTAGCAGTCTCCTTTCGTTGTATGGAAGTTGTTTGAACTTGTTTTCGCAACTTGACCATATTGGTAGTAAGAATTAGAGAAACGCACCTAGTCCGGAGTCCATTGTATACATGATTATTTCCAAAGTCGGACATCTTGGAATGTACCACGTCCACGGTCCTACTGTGCAAATGATGATGCATAGAATGCACTCCGGACAAAGTGCGTTCTTCTAAGTCTTCCTACCAACATGACCAAGTTACGAAAACAAGGTCAAACAACTTTTATACAAAGAAAGGAGACTGTGACCACACAAAAGGCCACACCATCTTGGTCTTCATACCTTCGATTGACTTACAATTGTCTTCTGTATGCGGCTGTAATTACTGCCTTGTTTGGCAATCTTACTTCCATAATTTAATCGAAGGTATGAAAACCAAGATGGTATGGCCTTTTGTGTGGTCGCAGTCTCTTTTCGTTGTATAGAAGTTTTTTGACCTTGTTTTCGCAACTTGGTCATGTTGGTAGAAAGACTTAGAGGAATGCACTTTGTCCGGAGTCCATTGTATGAAAAATCATTTCCAATGTCGGACCGTGGACGTGGTACATTCCCAGACGTGTCAGTGAAGGTGTGATAGGAAAATATAGGAAATGCGAATAGGCCAGGGCAGAAGGGGAGATACCACAACTGTTTAGCACTAGTTTAGTCAAGGG